GGAATGTCACATCCTGCAGGGCACTGACATCTCCAGGACACTGCTACTTAGATGGGTCCCCAGGAAGGCTTAACTGTTCTGGAAAGGTCTGTAAACATGTGATTTGAGCTCCTTGTGGTCCGGAGGGGGGGGTGTCAGATGTGACTGAAGCAGGGCTTTCCCTATACCAGCTCACGAGGTCAGGCCAAGAGGGGCTGCCCTCCTCTGCCTCCAGGGCCTTGGTGGTGAGGATTTCCTGTCTCTCTCTGGTAGTGACTCTGCCAGGCTGGGGTCTTGGTGCCCAGAAACCCGGGACAGCAATGTTTATAGGTATTCATTTGATTTATTTCCCACAGATGCTTTTCTGCAGGCATTGAATATGTATTTCCAGCCAAAATATTAGATCCTAAGCTCCTTGAGGGTAGGGATCACGGCTGCTCGCTGCGGGCCTAGGGCCTCAGTAAACACTGTTGCACAGGTGATTGCTAACACTTCAGGCTTTCTGTAGTTGCCTGCAGTTCAAAGATAAAGAACTGGACTGAGATGACCAGCCTTGCGTGAGTCACGTAACGTGGTGCCGTGGATACAGCCGCTGGTGCAAACCCAACAGGGGCAAAGATCAATGTCAAATTTTACCTTTCGTTCCCAGACAGGCTTCATTTCTCAACTCCTGGAAGGAGCTGGAGTGTTCCCAGAGTCCTTAGGCTGATGTTTCCTTTAGTCATTCTGGACAGTAGGCCCAGGGCCTACCCTGTTAATGAAGGCCAGGTGCCCGCGGTGACTCCTGGATTGGTCCCGCCTGGCCGTGTCTGCACCTGCCACTCCAACCAGGTCATGAACTCCCCTCTCACTTCTCCTTCCCCTAGCTCCCAGCACCATTTGTAGGACCAGTGGGGGCTTGACTACTTTTTGCAGAGAATTTACTCTCTTGGAGAAAAGGACAGACATTTTGACAGCCAGGGCACCAGGCAGGGAGTGGATTTCTGCCCCAAAGTCAGCAGCGTGACTCAGCAGAGAGGGCCCTGGAATCTGGGTCCAGAGGCCAGTCCGCATGTTGACCTGCAGCCAGGTGCCTTGGTTCCTCAGGCCTCAGCTCACTGGTAGTGCAAGTGCTGTGGTTTCCAGATGTCGGTTATCTCTGGGATTCCACACTTCCCCAGACACCCCTTCAAGGGGAGCCACCAAGGCCCTCACTGATTGGCAATGATTTTCCCATTTGTTAACTGGAAATTAACTTAGCCAGGAGTGGTGGGAGCCTAGATTAATATTTAGAAAGGATTTACAAATTTAATCCTGAGATAGAGAGCTTTTCATTTCTATTTGCATAGTGGGTGGAGGCTGGTCCCTGGTTAGGACCATTTCTATAAACTCCTTTGCAGTTTCTCCCTTCATGGCCACAAAGCCATCATGCGCCTCCCTCAGCTATAGGATACATTCAAGTTGACTCTGACCCGGGGAGGTGGCACTGTGCCGAGTGTCCACAGTTTGCAAGTAAAGCTTCAGGACAAAATGGAGAGGGCTCTTTACAGTGGTGGAGGATTGCTTTTTATAGCCTCACAGATTAAGGCCTGGACTTTGGTGTGAGACAGGCATGGGCTTAATTCTTTGCTCAATTGTTTGGCATGTTAATTGGCTTATTTAAGGCTCAGATTCCTTATCTTTTAAATGGAGGTAATAATCGGTCTATACCACAGAGTTCTTGTGAGAATAAGTTAACATAGATAAGGTCTTAACAAGTGCCTGGCAAGCAGTAAGTACTCAATAGACACTAGCCATTACTATTACACTTTTGCCATGGCTTGTCTGAAGTTCCTATGTTGGACACTCAATGCCACAGTGTTGGGAGGTGGAGCCCAGTTAAGAGGTAAAGAGGCTGTGAGGACTCTGTTCTCATGAATGGGGTGTCAGATATCACAAGTATGCATGGGCCTTTTTTTGCTAGTGTTTGTGTACTTACCATATGGCTCAAGATAACTCTTCTCCTTCCAGTGGATAGCAGAGAAGAAAAGAGTTTGGACATCCCTGGTCATTAATATCATTATCATGCAAGTGAGTGAATTATCTTGAGAGTGGTTCAAGATTTATTTTGGCGGGCCGGGGCTGGACTCGAAACCACCAGCTCTGGTGTATGTAGCTGGTGCCCTGGCCGCTTCAGCTACAGGCACTGAGCCCCTCATTATTAACTTGAAATAAAAAAAGTTTTGTTTTGATAAAACTGAGTAAAATTCTCAAAAAGTGATTTGGCCCCTCTTGCTGTCATCCTCTGTGCTCTTCCACCTTCTGCCACGAGATGACGCAGCACGAAGGCTCTCACCAGAGGCCCCCACCAGACTCTTGGACTTCCAAGCCTCTAAAAGCATAAGCCAAATAAATTTCTATTCATTCTAAATTACCTAGTCCCAGGTATTGTATTAAAGCAGCACAAAACAGATAAAGACAACTTCATTCTGTCCCTCTGTCCCTTAGTTGCAGCATGACAGGAGACATCCTCTTTACAATCCAGAGCTGATGCCTTGTATTATTTCCTGAGCTTTAGTCCTTTGAGGGTTTGGAACAAAAACTCAGCTGGGGCCTCAGAAGACAGACTCATCAGATAACCAGGCTTTCAGTAACACTCCAGCCCCACCCCCGCATTCCTCCCTGCCAGCACCTGCACGCAGAGATCAAGTTAATATTGACTAGGGTTCCCCTACTTCCTCTCTGAAATGCCATTACCTGGAGTCACAGCAGAGTCGTTAACGCGGGGACAGTATGTCCTGGGCGTGTCCACCACATACCCACCTTCTGGACCCGGGGCTGGAAGGGTCCATATTCCTTCCCTCCTGATCTATACCCGAGAGGCTGTGCTGGGCTGGGCTGACCCTCTCCCACCACCTGCACCCAGCGGCTTCACACATCAGAGGCTCTCTGGGGAGTTACCTTCAGGAAACTCCTCCTGGGGCCTGACACATTTCTCTCAGGACATTCCAGAGGTAAAGCAAGAATTAGTGATGGGCCCTAATTCTTGCCCATTGGAGAAGAAAATAATAATAATAATATGATCATGAAAAGTCTTTAAGGAAAAATATGCAAACAAGTATAAACTAATATTTCTCTGAATTAGGGCTTTTTGTTCCCTCTCTCCTCAACTCTTCGGTAAAAACTTCAGGAGCACTCAGCTGACAGACTGGCTGGCAAGTATAAAACCGAATGAATCAATTCAAGTAACTGATAAAGGCTATGTATTTTATTAATTATTTTTTTGAGACAGTCTCATTCTGTCACCTTGGCTGGAGTGGTAGAGTCATTGCTCACAGCAACCTTAAACTCCTGAGCTCAAGCCATCTTCTTGCCTCAGCCTCCCTAGTAGCTGAGACTACAGGTGCCTGGCATCACACCCAGCTAGTTTTTCCTATTTTTTAGGAGAGATGGTGGGGGGGTCTCACTATTGCTCAGGCTGGTCTTGAACTCCTGAGCTCAAGCAATCCACCTGGGTCAGCCTCCCAGAGTGCTAGGATTACAGGTGTGAACCACTGTGCCCAGCCAGGCTATATGTTTTAAAACAGTATGCTGTATATATTTTAATCCCTGACATCCTAACTGTCTGCAGGCCAAGCTCGTGTTCCTTGGAAGATCAGGACATAAAGGCTTCACACAGACCACATTTATACTTCAGGCCAGTCACTTTGAGCGAAACAGTCAAGATCAAGCGGCAGGTGGTAAAGGAAGGGGATGACAAAACCCAGACATGCCTCACTCTGCCTTCCCCACAGCCCTGGGGCTGGGCATCGGTGGTAGGGTGGGCTCCGTGAAGGATTCTGGGGATCTCAGACCTAGCACCAGGTGGCACAGCCGAAGGGCCTGGTTCTCAAACACACAAACTTCAGTGTGTCCAAGAGTTACTAGGGGAGTCTCTCAACCTGCAGAACCTCGTCCCCTCCGCTCCCCTGAGAGATGCCAATGTGTAATGTCTGGGCCTGTCATGGTGCAGAGGAGCTGGGCCACACTGGGGCTGGGAAGCCCTGGGAACCTGGAGCATGTGGCCTCATGTCCCAGCCCAGGAGGCCCTGTCTGCTCTGAGGGGTCCCGCTCTGCACCTGTATGCTCTCAAGGTGTGCCCCCTAAACCAAAAACCCCAAACAAACAGGACAAAGCCTCGAGGGCCAGCCCCACCGCGGCTTGTGTTTGTCTTGGAACTGGCAAGAGACTTGGTGCCTGGTGCCACTCTGCCTACATGGCTGAAATGACCATGACCATGAGGACAGCTCAGTTCTGGACCAAAAAACACCTCCCAGGATGCCAAGACACCATGCTTTACCCCCTGTCCTTAAGGAGGCTGGAGAAGATGGCAGACTAAAATTAGGGATCTCCTGGGATGTTCCCTTTCTCCCCTAGACCCCCGGGCATCACCCTTGGTCCTTTTCATTTTAATCAGCCCGGTGAATCTATCTTTCAAAGGGATCTGAGGGAAACTTTTCTGCCAAGTCCCAGCCGAGTCCCTGTGACACTCAAGAACATGGGCTAGGCTCCTGTGTAGGTTGAAGTCTGAGAAAATAAAGATTATAGGGAAACAGTCTACCTTTCTTTACAAGGCCTTGTTTTGCATCCCAGAAATCTCAGATTCAGCTATTACAATGAACTCCTGTTGTAGAAAGAGCTGGCCTTTTATCACCACTTAAAATCTAATTAATCCATATTGAAGCACAAAGATTTCTGTTGTCTTTTAGGGTGAGGGGGTCATAGAGACCTCTTTGTTCATCCTTAGACTTATAACCATCAAGCATTGAGGATATAATTTTACCAAATTGGAAGGTAACAGATCAAATCCTTATCAGAGAGCCTAACTCATAGCTTTAACAGAGTCCTTCGTCCTTTACATGAAACATTATATTTGGGAAGAACAAAAACGCATTTCAGAGTGCCGAAAGAGTTAATACCAAAGCTTATATTCCAGGCAGCATAGAACCAAGGTCGTCACACTACTGTCAACCACAAAGGACAGCAGGTCCTAAAGGGGTGGAGGAGCCCTAAGATTTGTCCCAATGGCTTTACTCTTTACAATAGCGATGCAGTCTGTTGGACTTTTGTTATCCCTGCTGGGATGGGTCTTATCTATTATTACAACTTATCTGCCACACTGGAAGAACCTCAACCTGGAGCTAAATGAAATGGAGAACTGGACCATGGGACTCTGGCAAACCTGTGTCACCCAAGAGGAAGTGGG